ATAAAATTTTTATCGATCAGATAAAATTTCTAAATTACGTAAGGGGAAATTATTTCTATATCCTTCGAGAGGAAACGATAATTTTCGAAGGACCATTCTCAGCGAGGCACGAATTATTCTGCTCGAATGGTTTCTTGAATGTATAAGGTTGAAGTTCAAACAAATCGGGTAAAATGACTCGGCGCAGTACCACCAGTCGGCCATCAACTTCTACGCTATAATTGAAAATTATAGTCCATGCATACGCATGCTTTATTGCGGAAGGAATGCACTCTGAGGCAACGCAGTGCATTACCGTTAATGCCTATAATAATATTCAAAACTATTAGATTTTTAATCTACTTCCATTTCGTAACTGTGAATCTTATCATCTTCGATTCGACGTCATTCACGCATCATAAATTGAAAAATATATCAATGAAATCCTTTGAATCTTTCTCTATAAAGTTGGAATTTTTTTATTCCTCGAAGTATTTTACCTTTAATCTTACTTTTTTATAAAGAAGATCTAAAAATTTTAAAAAATATGAAAATCTAATGAATCACTCCCTTTAAAAAAATTTGAAAATTTTCTTTCTCAACGGAGATTTACAAAACGATGAACGATATAAAATAAAAATAATTTAAATATATTATATTTATTTAAATAATTATTTTAAGATTTGTGTTTCTATTAACTTAAATAATATATATCGAAAATTTTCTGTGAATTAAATGATCAAATAGGAATAATGATGTTCTTAATTGCTTCGGAAGAAGTGGTACAATGAAGAACGAAGAATGCTCTAAAAAACAAGGTTAACGGACTTGATGTTTGTGTGTTTCATTATACATATGTATGTATATGTAGCAAAAAAAAAGATGCAATAAAAACATCTTACAATTTACAATTCTAAAAAATTAGGGTCAGAATTATACAGTTTCTTGTTTCTTTATTCATTATATATATATATATATATATATTATNATTCATATTCATTAATTTATTTTAAAATAAATAGAAAGAATACTTCGAAATTTAAAATCAAACCACTTCAAACTTTATCAAACCTACTTCACTCCCCTACTATTTCTATTATTTTATTTTCTATTTTATTTCTATTTATTTTATTTTCATTAAATTAAATTTTATTTTCGTGCACGTCCAACTATCTCAAACTTAACTCAAACTATTTCATTCGAAATAAATAATGAAAAATTTAAATACATAGAAAAATTTTTAAGCATCGATCATTATCCAAAAATTAATGTAATGTAAGAAAGTGTACACCAAAGATGACCACTCAGTCTTAAACTCGGTCAAACACGTTTCTATCCCGAGTATTCATCTCGACACCAACGCGTGCCCGCTTAGACACGCAGTAGAAGGCGGAGGATGGTTCGATGCCCTTCTCGAACCAGTTCGAGAGACGTCAACGAGTCGTCTATGAATTCAGGTATCCCGTTTTTTATCCGAGATCCCGTTTCTGCGCTTCCTCGTTCTCTTTTCTCCCGGAACATCCGCGCACGAGACGATCGCGAGACGAAATGACGACGATGCGATATGTTCGAATAATGGATAAAAGTTGGAGGTAAAATCTGATATATATTTTTTAAAGTAACAAACAATCGAAGAACAAAAGAAACACGTCAATACAAGTCTTAAATAGATTTTACAAAATTATAAAATGAAAGTTTTTATTTAAGATGATTACATAACAAAAAAAATTCTTGAAAATCGAAGATAGCAAGATAGAGTATTAATATATTTCTAGAATTTTTGAGAATGGATTTTGAAAAGCAAGACAAAAGTTGATATAAAAGTTTCGATCGAGACTCATTTATTAATATTATGACGACCGATTAATTTCAAGCTCAACAATTAATTTCATGTTAAAAATTAACAAAATAAGTTTCTTTTTATCTTTGCAGAAAAATATAATAATTCGAAATATTTAAAAAATAAGAAAGCAAAAATAGTAAGTAATAATAATTAAATAAATAATACATAAATATACTAGTAGTTAAGAGTCACGTGGCGCTAGTGTCGCTAGTGACATCAAATGTTAAATCCTGAGCAATTGAAATTTAAACGAACGAACAATATATTAAACACTACATTTCTTTATTTCAAGAAATAACTAAAGAGATTATTTAAACTTATTTTAATCTTCATTAACTTGCTTCAATTTTTTCGTTTATCCTCCCGAGATTAAGATACGAAAATTCGTATCATTAGTTGAATTAAGTTAGTTAAGTTTTCTCGCATCTAATTATTAGCTATGATCACGATTATTACATCCAATAAGAATTTACGAGGAGCCCTCTTTCGTCAGGCCCTAATTACGAAGACCAACGTGAACGATCACGACACGCGACTCGCGATCCACAGTTTCGATCCCTCCAGGTGTTATCGAGATTACGATTGTGGATAACGTAATGGGATGATTTATCACCGCTCGAGTATTCATCTTGGAGGAAGTGGAGATTAGTGTTGGTGATTCTTTATCTTTGAGAATGGTAGCGATGCGATGAGGAATTAGGTTGATCTTTTGTTTCGATTAAGGGGATGAGGGTACTTGATGGATTTGATTGCATTATGTTAAGACATTTGAAGTGTTTCAAAGTGTAAAAAGTTTTGAGATGATACACTAGATTGGGATAGTTTGAAAATAAATGGCATGAGAAATAGTAATATTCTGAATTGTTCCCTTATGTTTTATATTTTTGAAATGCATATAATTGTATTTATTATTAATATGAAATGTAATAGAAAACTTTACTTCAATTCAAGTTTTCTTTTAATTTTAATCTTACAAAATTTATGAACTCATTAATTATAAGTTTGACTTATTTTTACTTTTATTTTTACTGACCTATTGAACGATCTATTCTCACGGATTTTCTGAAAGATAACCATCTGAAGAATCAACGTCTGGTGGTCGGAATATCCAGATCCAGCAGACACTTGACACAGTCTTCGATAATCGCATACTGATTCTCGTGTTACATTTCAGCAGATTCAATTTCTCGAATATACAGTAGTAGTGCAGGATGATCCTGGAAACTGGAACAGGTTACATCTTTCCTTCACCTGTGAAAAAAATAAAACAATCTGATAAGAATATCTAAAAATATTATGTATTTTCACAATTACAAAAACTTAACCTACGATCATTTCTTTCAAATTTTATTCCACTGATTATTACGTTTCTCAATATTTTCTCAATATTATAATATATTTGTTTCAAAATAAATTACTTTCGACTAATTAAATTCCGTTTTCGACTTTTCCATCATATTTTTATTTCTTACACGATCATTCTATAATCATCATGAAATATTAATTCAAATCAATCTATTTCATCACTTAAAATTTTCTCAATATTGTTTCTTCAACGTTACAAAGCTGAAACTATAATTCGATGCAAGATTTACAATAATGTTAATTAGCTTCCACACCCTAAGGATGACATCCATCCACGATCATGCCATTAAGTGATACTAAATTATCCACTTGTTACGAAGTTTCGTCGTTGAATTCCTATCGACTTCGATAATTGGCTATAATTAATAGTGATGCAGCGTTTCGCGAGGTATTTCGTGACGTAAACGACCTCGATCGAAAGGTCGAAATCTCGATCTTACATCCATAAGAAATAGGCGGCATTGTTCCAATCACAGAAGGAGGGAGTGAGTTAAAAGGGCATTTCGTGTTGCACACACCTCTATTCATAAGTGTCGAGCAATGAAGAAAATTATTTTTACAGCGAAAGAAAAAGATACAAGAGAAAAACATCACATTTCGTTTGTTGAAATAAACTATTTTTTACTCTACTTGAGAAATTTGAAAATAATAAATGAAAATTATTGATAAACAATATTTCATTAGCAAATGAGGATATGATCGCAAATACGAATTTTATATAAAAATCACAATTGGAAATGTGCTCTTCGTTCTTCTTCACTAAGATTTCCTATTTTTAATTCCAGAATTGATTGTCCAGGTTTAATAAGAGTTTTGTATATAATTACAAAAAATATTTACGTATCCTTACCTCTTTCTTAATGATGTTCATTATGCTATATAAGTCAGTTGCTAATCTTTGAGAAAATATTTGCAACGAAATCAGCAGGAATAATATTCATGCTATGCAAAAAATGAGAATTTAATTCTTCTCTTATTAACGAATTTAAAATACGTTTCTTACTATGGGGGTAAATACGTGGAATTGGCACGAATTTGCTTCGTTCTTAAAATAATTAACTCTTCGTTAATAATTTAATTTTGTAAAAAATTTTCAATAATAATTCAACCTGTATATTTCCATCGTCTTCCTGTGTTTAATAAGTTCATGCATATTCAAGTTTACGGTTAAAATTCTGCGTTCTGCATCATTTTGCATCAGGAATATCCGTTGCAGAGCGAAGTGACGCCAATTGGATACACGATGAAACTACATTAACTCGTTAAATCTTATTCGCTTTTTTTTCTTTTTATCTTTATTATACAGAGTTACACTGTGAAATAAGACAGTATTAAAAGCGCAGGATCAAAAAGTTTAATTTGGATAGCGATTATGTATAAATCTGCCTTCTTTACTGTAATGTTAGTCGACCAGTTTCGATATTTTACTTCACTGTGGTGGTTAATCGACTGTTTTAACGTTTCATTTTTCTCTTCTTATTTTGTTAAAATATTTAAATTTAACGCCCATTTAATTGTACCCCTTTATTTCATTCGCAGAAAATTAAACAGCCAATCGATGCCGAGTCAATTACAATTTACAAATTTGCCAATAAATGTTGTACATAATTTTTCTGAATGCTTAATTAATATTTATTAATTAAAATAATTTATTAAAAGTTTGAATCGCAAAAGTATGAAAAAAAGTATGTAAAATATCATAAATCAAAATCGATTAATTTAGTTCTATTATTTTATTGTTTAACCTTTTTCCAAGATAGAATTTATTAAAACAACGCTTCTATAAGATCTGATTATTAATCATTTCCAGAAATTTTCAAATTGGAACAACAATAGAAAGTTATTTGCAATTCAAATACGTGAATGAGTGAAACTTATTTAATTCCTGAAACTTTTTCAACGAGTTCCTTTATCATATTGCACGGTTCGCCAATTTTTTCTTTTCATCTTCTTCTCATCCGTTGAAAAATGAAATATTCACCATTTCACATTATTTCTTTATTATTCCGCGTTTGGTTAATTTTGTCTCGAGACGGTGAACACGAGGAATGGCTGGAGAATTCGTGCAAATTTTCTCTGTCCATTGTTTCGAAGGCCCGAATATCGTACTGTTTGGTATTTCGATTTTTGTGGCTGTGGTTCTAGTGTTTGACTTTTATATATATATATATATTTACTATCTATTCTTAAAATTCAACGAGAATTTCAGAACAATAAATTCGTTCGCTCTGCTCACAGAAAGATTTCTTTGACAATATTTCGAATGAATATAATTATGTAAATATTCGAGAATAATGTAAATTTCCAAACGAAATACAGAAAGTAATTTGCATACATAAAATATACGATGACTTCGACTTTCTTGTATATTTATTGTTTGTAATAAAATAAAACTTTAATTAATAACTAACTGTAAAATAATATTCCGCATAAATGTAACAGGTTATAAAGTTTGAAACGTTAGCCAGTCGAGGAAAAATATCACAAGGCTAGATTAACTTACTTGCAAGTGGTACTTGTCTCTATTAACATAATTACATGTCTCTTTTTAAAATATATCCTCTTAATGTACGCGTTGCTTAAAAATAAAATGACATTTTAATTTTCCTTTTCTTTTTTTTCTTTTTTTTTTTTTTTTTTTTTTTTTTTTAAAAAACCGGGCCTTAAAGGGGATATTTTTTAAAAAAAAAAAAGAAAAAAAAGAAAAGGAAAATTAAAATTTTTTTTTTTTTTTTTTTTTTTTTTTTTTTTTTTTTTTTTTCATTCACCGTTAATATCCCGAGATTGAAAAAGTATATTAAAATAGATTATGCCATGCCATTATAAGAAATTTAGAAATCTAAAGAAATATCAGATTCAAGAAACCTGATTTATTAACTCATAAGAAAGCATAGATTTTATATAATTTTCACGTTATAATATTGAAAAAATACAAATGTATTTTAATAGTTACACGCAGCAAAGATTAATCAAGATGAGGAAAATAAAATACTCAAACTCGGAAAATAAAATAATCCATTATTTAACAACATATTAAGAAGAAGCAAGAAGATATTTTTATCTACTTTACAACATTCTTTCTTTCATTATATAAGAAAATCTAAATAAAAACTCAATTGTTTCTTACTTCAAAAAACTTTTTTATTAGATTTATCAAAAAGAATTAACTTTAACTTTAAAAATATTTTCAATTGAATCGATACAAATCCAAACACAACTCAAACCCAAAAACAACTCAAACATATAATAATTTACAAATAAAAAAATTTGTATATAATAAAACACTCCGTGTTCAATACTTTCTACTCCTAAATTCTCCAAACTTCGCCCTTCTTCTAATAAAGCAAACGTGGTCTGCACAACGATCAATCGATCCTTATCATTAAACCGCGATCGAGAAAAGGGGATCCAACCAGTCTGGACACCGATACCGAGGTCCAAGCAAATCGTTTGTCTCGTTTCACATATGCACACGATACACAGAGGAGGAGGATTGTAAAATACACCCAATCCCGAAGGCCGTCCACCTTGCGCTTATACCGGGTGTCCCGG